TATCCATATCACTAATTCAACAAGATAATAAATATGGGACAATAGATTTCTACATCATCTGTAAGATACTATTATTAACGCGTTCTTCAACAATAGTACCTCACAGGTAATGTGGAAATCTATATTTAGAAGAGTGAATAACTATTGAAACTTATCAGTCAAAAGTTAAAATGTTAATCAATGTTTGTAAATAATTTCAAATGAGAATACAGTAACCTTCGCACGAAGAACTTGCATTGTGGCTCTTTATGCTCCTTTTGATTTTTATCAAATATATTTAATTTCAAATATACTTTTTATGTAATTTAATAAATGTATTTCTTTACACTAAGAAATTACTAAATGACTTATCTTTTTAAGTATTATGTAATTTGTATTGACATTTAGAACCACTTCAGGAACCCAAAAAAGAAAATTGGAGTTTATTCAATAAAAAATGGTTATCACTTTACTGTATTCGCTGCTATTATGCATCTTTCTCATATTACTGTGCCATTATCTGATTCATCATGGAAGATTTTGGCAACTTATCGATCAAATACCAGGACCACCGGCGCTTCCATTAATCGGCAATACTCTTTTATGGTGCACCAGTTCATTAGGCGAGTAAAATTATGTACACATTTACAGATTAATAAATAGTATAATAAATTATAATATTATAATTTGTATAAAAAATGTTTCAGTAAAATATAAAAATATCAACAGTATTGATGATTTGATTGCACAATACTTTGTCGATACCAATAATCATTAAGTTTATCAAATGTAATAAATAATATATACATTATATATTTTTAAAGAGTATAATTTTCAATTAGATTTATTTTTATTTATGGAATGTTATTTATTATTTTTGATTATTGTATATTTTTATTTTCAATTCTCACGCTTCAATATAAATTAGTAAAAAATTTTGATGCAAAAATTCAGATAATTGTACTATGACCAATGATACTTATCAGTATCAGAAGTATTAGAAATCATAACAGTAAACAAAATAAGATTTATTCTATGGTCAAACAATGGCGCGCATGTATGGAAATAATTGATTGTAGCTCTTTAATAATTATGTACATTTAAAGAAAATTAATTAATATTTTCTTAAATTTGGATTTTTAGAAGATATGTTGAACACACTGGAAAAATTAAATAAGGAATATAAGAATATTTTTAAGGGGTGGAGTTTTACTATTGGAGCTGTTTTTATTACTAATCCTGATGACGCACAGGTAAAAGAAATATTTAAAGATGAGCAAATCTTGATTATTATATTAAAATTTTATTAAATATTGTTTTCTTTTAATTATTTATTTCTTTGATATTGTACATGTTAGTGTTTGTTGTTCAAACGATATAAAGAAAGAAGAGTATTTAGGGATCAACAATATTAAGTTTTTGAGAATTACATGATCGCAAACATCAAAACGTTTATTTAATGATAAAAATATTCCCGATTTTCTTTAGTTTATATATAAATAAAACTGTAAAGTATTTCATGTTAAAGGATATTTTACTTTTCTTGTTCCCTATATGCGTTTAAAAATGATAAGTTAATAATTTCAATAACTTCCCGTGGGACACTCTATATGTCTATAGGATTCGGGTTTAGAGGGAAACATAATTAGCGCTAGAACTTTTATAAGAAATCATCATGCAAGGGAAATGTTAAAAATATACTCCTATTTAAGATAAATTGTACAAATAAAACGATTCTTTATATTATATTAAAATTATAAATGATAAATAATACCGATATTTATAATTTGTATTTGGAATTATGCGTTTACCGTCTAATGCAAATGACAGTTCTTCAAAAAATAATTAACTTTATTTAACATTTTTTTCTTAGACATAACTGTGTGATAACAATTACACTTGTTGCAGCAAGTTGACACACAAATTACTTTCCATTTTTGCATTTTTTAATTAAAATATTATTTAATATAATCTTTTATATGATTGTAGACAATATTAACCAACCCAAAAGAGCATATTGGAAAAGGGTTTATATACACATTACTAAATCCTTGGTTGGGAACTGGTCTACTTACTAGTGACGGTAACGTAATAGATATAACATAATTCTCATTTCTAATACGTAGAATATTTCGTATCAAAAATATATAAAAATTTTATTCTTTTTTTATATTTATATAAATTTTATATTTAAGTACATATAATTATAAAATTTAAAAATTAATCTCAATGTAGGACTAATTACTGTCATTTTTAAATTATAGTATACTTTATTTTATAAAGTATATGTCATAAAAACAAAATTTT